TATATATATATCATTATCTTTGTTATAAAAGAAATATATATAAAATTAATATTATATAAATATTAATATTAATTATTTATATATAATTTATTTATATATATAATCATAAAAGTTTAAATTTGTTTCTTTCAGTAGAGTACTTTTTATATTTTATTGTACTTTATAAATATGAGCAACTTATTCTTATTTAACTAATTTGTTGTAATAAAATAATATTATTAATATTATATAATATTAAAAATTAAATAAAATCAGAACTATTTTTAACATCATAAAAATATTCAGACACTTTAAAAATTTATAATAAAATAACTAACGAAAATTAAATATTGATTTTGATATGTTTTTCACATTTTGTTTTGTACAATATTTTATGTAATCTATTATCTATTATTAAAAATTATGCTTTATTAACGATATTTAATATTTTATTTCTATTTTAAATGGAATTTATAAATACATCCCAAAAATATAAAAATATATTTCTCAGATAATTTCATGCAACATTTTTCTTTGCAAAACTTTCGTTATGGCTTCGTTAACAAGTTATTAATAAAAATTAATAACTCAATCACGGAATGCGTAATCTAGTTGAATTGCAATGGTTGACTGTGTATTATCAACTGATATGAAAAAAGTATTAGGATATCCAGATATAATTATATAATTACATATATATATTCAAGATAAAACAGATCTGGATAATTTTTTTCCCAGAGAAACACGAAATGGTTAATAATAGGAAAATCGAAGGAGAAATTATATTGTTAGGGATCGTGAAGAAACGATAGTTAAAAAATCTAAAATCTAAAAACGAAAATTATTTGAAATGCATTTTTAGTTAAAATGAAGTATAAAACAATATAAATCGAATTAATTTTTAATCAATTGAATTTAATCAAGTTTCTATTCTTCTAAGTTATTAATAATGTTGATTTGCTAATTAATTAGAAATACTGTTTGCGGTTGACAAAAGAACTTTTAAAGAAAGATAATTTATATTTAAGTTTTATAAGTTTTAACTAATATTTTTAATTGTGTAATCATGTATGTATACAGTAAAAAAATCTATAATAGATTATAATATAATAATCTGATTTATATTAAGTTTGGATTTATTGTAATCGAAAGAATTCCAGTACTCATTGATTAAATAAACATAAAATAAAAATTATAAAAAATTAACTTTTTTTATTATATAATTTTTTTTTCACTCGTGGTTTTTTCAAATTTTAACCATCGTTATCATTCCTTGATGTATTATGTTAATAAATCTTAATGAATTAGTTCCCTTCTTTTTTTCAATTTTAATGACCTTCAAATATATTGTTGCCAAGCCAATGATACAACAGCGATATCAGTTTCAGTATCTGTATGATGTCGACTTATAATCTATCTATTCATATATAAAAAAATATTATATGAAGTTAGTATCTAAAAAAAAAATATATAATAGAAATATTATTATTATATTAAATATAAATTAATATCACTATATTTAATATGCATGCAAATTTAGATATTTTTCTTTCAGATCCGCAAAATACAAACAAAATACAAAATAATTCTTGAGCAACTAAAATGATAACAATAGATACAGTGCGAGACACATTTTGAGTACTATGATATATAAATAATGATATCTAGCATATATTCTGCTATAAATATATACAAAATAATATATGTATAGGCGAATTCAATATAATCATTCAATATATATAATATAATTCAATAATCATTATTTTTTTGCAAATATTTCAAAATTAAAGCCAATTGGTAATTATGTACAAAAAAAGAAGTTGTTCAAAATGATTTCATAATATATTTCAAATTAAGATTAATGAAAAGGAAGCTATTCGGTTTGATTGATTAATTGATAATGATTGAGATTAATTAACATTTCTAATTCATAAATTAAATAAATGTATAAATATATATTACGCAATTTTTTGCAAATTCATTCTAAAATTCATTCTAAAGAAATAAAATTGATTCCTATATCTTCTTTTAAAAATTTATACATCTTTCAATATTTTATGTTATAATTTGCGAACTATAAGAAATAAAGAAAAGATTTTTAAACATAAATTATTTATTTTAATGAGAAATATCGTTTAATAAAAGATTTATCAATTGTTCATCAAATGTAATTAGAAAAAAATTATAAATAAAAATTTTACAATTTTTTAAAATTTTTTTATATGAAAATTTAATCAATAATTTAATCAAAAAATTTAATCAAAATCAATTTTAATAATTGAAATAGCATAAAAAATTTTGTTTAATTATAAATATAAATATATTTGTTATTATTATAAATATAAATATATATCCGGAAATAATATGGGAATATGCATTAATTTAAAATTTCCGAATTTTTTAATTTCAAATAATATTGCTATAAACTATAATATATACAAAAATATTTATTGTAGCTTTGTCGAATTATTAATAAAAATATGGAGTGCGAAATCTAATCAAGCTGCGATAGTAGCGTTGACTGGGTAATAACAAATAAATTTAAGTAAAATTTAAGTAAATTTAATCAAAGAAAATACATTGAATATTTATATATTTATTTATATATATTCATAATAATATATTCATAATTTATTGATAAAAAAAATTTATTAAAATATAAAATATAAAAAATTTATTCAAATATCCTCTATATGCTTCTAAAATTTCAAAATTATTTAAATTTGCGATTTGAGAATTTTTTCTTAAGATTTTGATCAATTGATACTTCAAAAATTAATAAATATTTGAAAGTAAAATATTTAAAATTCCAAATTGTGAATGCGAATTTTATTAAATTTACTGAAATGAAACAATCTACGCGACACAAATATAATCGATTCACATACATATTTATAATAGATTAAATTCATATCTATAATTAGTACTTATTTATTATTATTTATCAAATTTGAATAAAGCGACTACTTATATTCTCCTACCAAACAGGCTTTGTAATATTATCAAGTTTTTATATATTCAATTCATATTTATATAACATATTTATATAATATTTCTTCGCAGCAAATTTATATCAGGTGCACAATAATCTATATTCATTTCTTCAAACAAATTTATAGATGCTTATTTGTAGTTACTTATAGTTACTTTTTAATATTTTATATCATAGTTACTTTTTAATATTTTATATCATATTTATTTTTATTAATTTAATATTTTATATTAATTATATTTACTTTAAAATATTTTATTACAATGCTACGTTCTTCATTAAATCGAACTTGGCAACAAATTAATCGTAATTTAGGAAATAATACAGGAATAAAATGTAAACGTCTAGAAGAAAAAGTAGCAATTGTTACGGCATCAACAAGTGGGTAAAGTAATATTTAAAAAATATAATTCTCTTATAAAAATTTTATATTTTTATTATAAAAATTATATATTCTAATTTTTTTTTCATTAAATTAATCGAATGTAAAAAATATATATAATTTAATATATTGTTATATTGCAATATTATTATACATGTGAAATACTTCTAAAGGATTGATTTTGAAACATAAAAGATCATATATACAATTTTTTTTGTTAAGTTATAAATTTATTAAACATTTAATTTTGATCACTTATCAATNAAATTTTTATACATTAGTTTATATGTTTATTTGATTTCTAAAATCAATCCTTCAAAGATATTGAAAATTAATAAAAATTAATAAAAATTAATAAAACCTGTATATATTTAATCATATACTACTAATTATATCTTTTCAAGTTAAATATCTTTAAAATCATAAGATAAATAAATATTGAAATATATAATATGAAATAAAGTTTATTTTATATAATTTAATAATTAAATTATGTAATAAATTATTTTTAATAATTATATTAATTTTTAATATATACTTCATTTGTTGTAGTATTGGTTTTGCAATAGCAAAACGTTTAGCTGAAGAAGGTGCTAAAGTAGTAATTAGTAGCCGTAAAGAATCAAATGTACAGCAAGCTTTAAAGCAACTTAAGTCTGAAGGTTTAAATGTTTATGGTACTATATGTCATGTTGGCAAAAATGAAGATAGAAAATCTCTTCTTGAAAAAGTAAATTTATTTATTTAATATATAATATATAATAAATATTTAAAGATTTTATATTAATACTTTTATAATTTTATATTCTACTTTTTTGCAAAATGATAATTTAATAATAATATTCTAGACTATAC